GAAGAATCCAGCTGATGATGCCTGAACTTGACATCACAAAAAGAGAGACAACCAGACATTACGTGTACCCTGACACAACATGAGGTATTCTAGGCACCTGTGTATGAAGTATTCTTGCCAAGAAAGTGAACACGATCTTGGTGAAGCCTCTACATCAGAACTGTCCAACACAAATTTCTGCAATGATGGAAATGTTTTCGTGTGCTATCCAATACTATATCTAATACCATAGCCATTAGCCAATAGCCACTTGGCTATTGAGCACTTAACCTGTGAGACTGAGAAATTGACTTTTAAATTTTAGTTAATTTTAATTACAGTAAGTCCCCTACAAACAAGTTCCCTTCTGAGAGCATGTTCGTAAGTCCAATTTGTTTCTAAGTCCAACAATGTTAGCCTAGGTACCCAACTAATACAATCGGCTCTATAGTACTGTACTGTAATAGGTTTATAATACTTTTCACAAAAATGATACATAAAAAACCACAAAACATAAAGAAAGCATTTTTAATCTTACAGTACAGTACCTTGAAAAGTAGAGTAGTAGAGTACAACAGCTGGCGCTTCTTAGCTGTACCAGCTACATCACCTCTGCTTTTATGCTTGTTTCTGGACATTCTGGGCTTGAAATAAAGATACTGTACTACTGTACTCTATACAGTGCTGTAAAGTACACAAAAGCACAACCACTTGTAGAGGATGCACACATGACAATGTACGCAAAACACGTGAACTAACATGATTGGACATGCGAACGCAGTTCGCATCTTTGAAAGTTTGCAACTTGAAGGTTCATATGTAGGGGACTTACTGAAATTTAAGTAGCCACATGTAGTTAGTGGCAACCACACTTGACAGAGCAGCTGTAGGTCTACTAATTTATAGAAAGGAAAGGGGATAAAGGGACATGTTAAATAACACATCTCAGCGTATAACGTGTAGACCTTGTTTGGATCCTTATTCAAACAAACCAAACATAAGAGACAACTGGGGAAATCTGAACTGGATAATTCATAATATTAGGAATTATTTAAAATTTTTACTTGTATCAATGACATTATGTTTAAGCTTTAAAAAATTGTTCTCTCTCCAAGATTCATACTTTAGTATATAAGATGAAAATGTATATGTCTGGGATTTTCTTTAAAGAATCCAGCAGAGGGACTTTCCTGGTGGCACAGTGGTTAAGAATCCATCTGCCAATGCAGGGGGCATGGGTTTGAGCCCTGGTCCGGGAAGATCCCACATGCTGCAGAGCAACAAAGGCCGTGTGCCACAACTACTGTGCCTGCGCTCTAGAGCCCGCGAGCCACAACTACCGAAGCCCTAGAGCCCGTGCTCTGCAACAAGCGAAGCCACCACAATAAGAAGCCCGTGCACCGCAATGAAGAGTAGCTCTTGCTCACCGCAACTAGGGAAAGCCTGCGTGCAGCAACGAAGACCCAACGCAGCCAAAGATATAAATAAATAAATAAATAAATAAATTTATTAAAAAAAAAAAAAAGAATCCAGCGGAGGGGGAGGGGGAAAGGGGGTGGGAGGGTATACATGAAACAAGTTAAAAAAAAAAAAAAGAATCCAGCGGAGGTGGAGGGGGAAAGGTGGTGGGAGGGTATACATGAAACAAGATTAGCTATATGTTGATAACTGTTGAAGCTGGGTGATGGGTATATGGTGTTCATCACCATATTCTTTCTATTTCTGTGCATGTTTGAAAATTTCCATCACAGAATGTGTTAACAAATGAAGAGATAAATAAAACCTAGAATTAAAAGAATAGTATATATTTTATCCTATGGAATATTATACAACTCCTAAAAAGAATTCAATGGGCCTCTATATATTATACTATGGAAAGAAAGCTAAACCACATGAGATGAAGGGAAGTTGCATAACAATTACTATGGTCTGAATGTTTGTATCCCCTACATCAAATTCATGTTGAAATCTTAAGCCCCAATAGTAATAATATTAGTAGGTGGGGCCTTTGGGAGGTGATTAGGTCATGAAGGTGGAGCCCTTGTGAATGGGACTAGTGCTTCTATGAGATTCTGCAGAGCTCCCCCTAGCCCTTTCCAACGATGTGAGGATACAGTTAAGAGGTTTGCAACCTGGAAGAGAGTGTTCACTTGACCATTCTGGCACTCTGATCTTGGACTACCAGCCTCCAGAACTGTGAGAAATAAATTTCTGTTGTGTATAAGCTACCCAGTCTTTTTTGAAAGCAGTCTGAATGGACTAAGACAGCAATATAGAAAGTATGATCCTATTTATGTAAACAATAAAAAGATGCATTTATATGTACATATATTTGTAAGTAAACACCTGCCCTTTAATGTACAAGTCCATTTCTTAGAACATATTTACAAAATTATTTTTAGACATCCAAAAGGATATATGTACAGATACTTAACTGTAGTGGTCTGCCATAACAGAATACCACAGACTGGGTGGCTTAAACAACAGAAATTTCTCACAGTTTTGGAGGCTGGGAAGTCCAAGATGAAAGTGCCAGCAGATTCGACTCCTGGTGAGGGCTTTCTTCTGGCTTGCAGATGGCCTCCTTCTATGTCTTCACACAGAGGAGAGAGAGAAAGCTCTCTGGTGTCTCTTCCTCTTCTTATAAGGGCACTAGCTTATAGATTAAGGCCCATCCTTGTGACCTCATTTAACCTTTATCACCTTTTCCATGTTCTATCTCCAAACAGTCACATTGAAGATTAGGTTTTCAACTATGATTTTGGGGGGAACACAAATATTCAGTCCATAACATTTACGAAAGCATTATTTCTTATAGCAAAATTATGGAGACAAGTTTTGTGTCCATCTATGGAGAAATGGATACTTAAATTATAACATATCCATATTATGACTAGTTTGGACAAATGTCCAAAATATATTTTTGAGTATAAAAAGCAAGTTGAACAATATATGAATCACACACATTAAAAAAATACCGAAAAAACCCCCTAACTATATAATCCATCCCCCCCCCCCCTTATATATAGTCTGGAAGTATAGTCATTCAACTACTAACAGTGATTAACCTTAAGGAATAGGAATGGGGATATGAAAAGAGGGGCACTTAACTTTTTCATTTGTATAAGCCTAAATACTTCTAATTTATTTAAAAGATAATGGGCATTCATTACATTTGTAAATCTGAAAAATGCAAAAAGTGGTTGTTTTTTTAAACCACTTGATTCCATGAGATAATATCTAAGTGCCTGAAATATTAAAACAGCAAATGTATTTATATAACATGAGCTATGCCTCTCAAATGATTCCAGCTCTGTGCAGAGCTGCAATGAATAATCATTGTCCAGAATCCAGAAACATATTACAAAGTAGTCCCAACTTTTACTTGCATGGGCTCAAAGAACATTAGCCCCTTCTCCACTATCCTGTAGCTCGTCTCTTGAGACTTTCTCATTCTAAATGTCTAAATCCTCCTCAGCCACAGTCCTGTCCTCTTTTTTTTTTTATCAGCCTTCCTCAGTTCCTTTAAATAGATATCCTTGCAAGACTCAGTTTTTTCTCTAGCAATTGGTCACACTCTGCATTTTAAAAGATCCAAGAACCAGGCTGGTGAAGACTTTTCTTCAATTGGGGGAAGGGAAAAGGTGAGGAACAGCTTAGTCTATTCACATATTACAAGCATTGATTTCTCCAAATTTAGAACTGTCATTCTGTTAACTAATAATTGGGTCATGTGTATTACGGTTTATCTCAGGTAGATCGTATTCGGGTAGGGAATTACTGTCACTATTTTTATTCCTTACAGTGTACTTCTTTAATTTATTGTTTGGTCCATTGATGTAAAAAAGATACCTAGGGGAATCCTCGGCACCAGGGCCCCGGGGCTGCGGTTGGGGGAGGGATGGTCCTCAGTTTGTCAAAGCGTAGCGTAAGTTGCTCATTTCCAGGCTCACTTCCAAATAGTCTAATTAAGGTTTATGCATTTCTTACAAGTCATATGCCTTCTTTACAGGTCAGAACATTCTTAGAAATCCTGAGGATTCAGAACTGCACTGCCTCAGACACTGGACCCTCATGTAATCCTTTGAGCTTTTAGTTGGATGTTAGTATTCTACTTCGAACTAGAGAACCCTGTCTATAATCACTTCATCTGTTTGGGCACCTTCCTAGCGGCCCGTTTCCTTGTCTGCAAAGCGGGGATAGTCGTGTGTGCCTCACAGGACGTTACGTGGGGACATATTGTGGATATATAGCCCTTTTAAAACCTTCTGTCTGGAGAAATCACCCAGGCTTGGTTCCTGCCCTACTCATGTGGAACAGGCCGACTTAGTCCCCTTTTGCCCCCAAATGACATAATGAGGAAGGATTTCAACTTCGAAGATGTTTGCTCAGAAACGACAGAGCGATAAAAACAGAGTTGAATAAGTCTGGTCAGCAGCTACATCTCTTCTCTCCAACAGTCTGGCACCTCAAGCTTTAACTTTGGGGAAACAATGAATTCTGCGCCCAGGCCTTCAGGCGAGTCAAAAAACCCGAAGTGGTTATGCTTGTTTGGAGGCCTGCGAGGCACGAGGGGACGGAGAAAGGTGAATCGAGCTGCTCTCTGACTCACAACCGGCTCGCCCTCCGTACCTAACACAGCTAAGTGTTACCGTCGCCATTTTGCAAGGGTGGGCTGCGCAGTCTCCTCTAGCGAGGCCCGCGCGCCTGAGCCGGAGAGGACGTGGAAGGCTAGAAGGCGGGGAACGCGCGCTACCGCGGGGGGGAAACACGCGTGCGCACAGGCGGCGGCTGCGGCGGAGGGGTGGGGCCGGGGTACGAGTGCGCGTGCTCGGTGGGAGCCCGCGAAGTACCTGGAGGAGGTGGGGGGCGAGGTAGAAAGGAGTGAGGTTGAAGAGCGCTTGCGCGGGAGGGCGACCGTGCGGGGAGGGGGGCTCCGGAGCACAGGCGCGGAGACGGGACTTAAGGAGCTCTCGCGAGATCTCCAGGTTGCTATATATGTGCGCAGGGAGCCCGCGTCCTTTCCCTGGTCTGATTCCGTCCTGCGTGACTCTTCCTTCGAGCGGTAGACTTTTATCTCCGTCCACTTTCTCTCCCACCGAAGTGCGTGCCACCAACCCATGGAAGATTCGATGGACATGGACATGAGCCCCCTGAGGCCCCAGAACTATCTTTTCGGTAACTGCTGGGGGGTTGGAGCGAGGCCGAGTAGGGCCTGCAGGCTTTGGTGGGGGGGCGGGATCCCACTGAGGCCTGGGTTAGCGAGGAAAGCTAAGCAGGCTGGAGGCCTGAGGGAGTGGGAAGCGAGCAGACGGGGTCCTGCCGTCTGCAGGATGGGGACCCAGGAGGGGCGAGCCGGAAGCACGGAGGGGGGTGGGAAGGAGGGGCGGCCTGAAGGCTGGGGCGTCAGCGGTCCGAGGCCCAGGGCCTGAGGTAACGTGGAACCGACCGGCTGAGGGTTCGGCGTTACGCGGGGCCCATGGTGGAGCTCCGGGCACAATTATTTTCTGGGGTTTTGTGAGTTGGTAGGCTTCTGAATCCGGGCGGGTGCCTGAGGGTGAGCTCCGCGTTGGTGGTGTAGGAGGTTTTGTGGGTTCGGGGTCTGAGGAGGCTTGGGCCTCCTTTCTTGACGAGAGGATCGATTGAGCATGGCGTTGTTCTCAGGCCTCAGGGTCAGGAGCTCTCGACCGAGCTTCGGCCCCGGTGCCTCGGCTGGTTGCTGGGGGCAAGGGAGGTGCGGCCCGGTCCGGCGTGAGGAGGCCGCGACCGCTGGGGAGCACGTGGTTGCCACGTGGTTGGGGGAAGGAGGGGGGTGTGGGCGCTGCATCCGGGGCTCACTGGTGTCTTGTCACCCCCGAGCCTGGGATTCTGGGGCTTGATTGAAGCTGGTGGGCCGGAAATGTTAGGTGAAGTGGTTGGTAGCTCCAGGACTCTTGGAGGTCTTTTGTTCGGTGCTTAACATCTGTGCTGGTAGTTCTCATTTAGAATCCTCTTTCTGTCTCACCGCGTCCACCTTGCAGAGGAGGTACTGCCGCTCAGAGAACCGAAGTGGCTTAACGAAGGTTGCACTTGTAGGAAGAGACTACATCTAACCCCATGACCCTTGTCTCCAGAGCTGATGCATTACAAATGATTTGGGGTCGGGGGTGGCAAGGGAGGGAGACTGGCGGAGGCAGCCTTCTGTTAAACTTGTAATTCTATACCTGGGTTTTGGGATTTCCCCCTCGAGCACACCAAGTACCATACTAAGAGGCCTGCGTTGGTTTTTCAGTCTCACTAAACTGAATTGTTGAAGCCTTTGTGTCAGGCTTTAAAGTAAGTGCAAATCCTGCCCCAAATTAATTTTGTTTCCTTATATACTATGCTGAGATTTGTTAATTGAGCAATTAACAGTTAAGCATCTATTCCAGTAACTATTAGATGACAACTAAATGGGACTATTTAAATTAAATAAAGTTTAATTCTGATGGTGTTTAAGACAATTTGCTTATTCATGAATGGTAGTAGTAACATGCACTATGCATTAAGGCTTTTATTTCTAGCATTTTGAAAAACTGGCGTTTCTGATCAGTTTACATCAAAATTTATATCAGAATTTTTGTGTTAACTCTTGCTATTGGAAGTATCCCTAGGATATTTCTATTATCTTAAACATAATTTCTGAACAGAATTTAATGTACATCATTTCTGGTACTTCGAAGATGGACTGTTGCCCCCTGTAATGAGTTTTAGTTCTTTTACATTTGTAGTTTTTCTGTTGTAAATGCAAGCTGTTGATGTAGGTGTTTGTGTAACCATTGTCATTTCTAAATTTGGCACCTGGGAGTTTTGGTAGGTAATTCCACTTTAAAATAGTGGGATTTTATCAACATTGTAAGTTAGGGTTGCTTTCAGTTCTAGGTTTACTAAATTTTTGATTCTGTTTCTACATGAGAATAGTAGTGTAGTTGAGCATAAAATAATGTAGTGGGAAGTGGAATTTATAAAGCTCTGTATGGATGTTATTTGATGTTTATATTCTGTGTTCAAGAAATCCAGGAAGAGGTACTTCTGCCTTGCCTTTTGGTAGCTAGAATAGTAAAAATTAGTTCACAAGTTAACTTTTCGGTTACCCACACTGAATTTTTAGTGTTATTTTTCTCCTTGTTATAGTTGAATTTTTTCTTCATTTACAGGTTGTGAACTAAAGGCCGACAAAGATTATCACTTTAAGGTGGATAATGATGAAAATGAGCACCAGTTATCTTTAAGAACGGTACTTAAACTTTTCAAAATACACTACTTTAACATTTCTTGATTTCAGTCTCTTAGTTCCTATTCGTGTGGATTAATACTTATTATACAGCAGTATTTTTCTTTCCTTATTTATGTTCTTCGCTTCTACAGTTGTATTAAAATGCCCTTTAGGGTAGTGATAAACGTAAATCTTATTTGTTCTCCACAGACACTAGCCTGTAGCCTACTACTTAACTTCTAGGTGGCCAGTAAAAGGTGGTTTGTAATTAGGCGTGGGTGATGACATAAACATCTTTGTCATCAAATGCATTTTTATGTAATTGTTAAGATTTACCAAATATGAGAAATTGTCAAAGTCACATAAAATTTGAAAACAACCTTGTGCTCAAGTCAGTTTCCCATCAGTGGTAATAATGAAAGGTTTATAATTGTTCTGATTTTTTTAAAACAACTGGTTGGGGGGGTTGTAAATTGGTGGAAACTTAAGTTGAAGTACTGTTCTTCTATTCACAGGTCAGTTTAGGGGCTGGCGCAAAGGATGAATTACACATTGTCGAAGCAGAGGCAATGAATTATGAAGGCAGTCCAATTAAAGTAACACTGGCAACTTTGAAAATGTCTGTGCAGCCAACGGTAAGGGCACTTTTACACTTTGAATTTTATGTCAAATTCTAATTCTGTTGCCTTAAGGCGAGTGTCATTTAGGTTACAAGGAGATTGGGGAATTTGGTTTGGTTTTTTCCTAGTAGTCACAGCTGCATATTCTGTAACTGGTGTTGACTGATTCCCGTGGTGGTAGCTGCTTGTTTATCAGAGGTGGAAAAAAACAGGTTCACTGATTTGTTCATTTGGCTTATGGGTTTGCTTGTTCAGAAACATTTTTAAGTTATGAACAGATTTTATACCTAACGTAACCATTTTTTTCCCCCACAATATTTAGTGATTTATAATTTCTTTTTAGGTTTCCCTTGGGGGCTTTGAAATAACACCACCTGTGGTCTTACGGTTGAAGTGTGGTTCAGGGCCTGTGCATATTAGCGGACAGCACTTAGTAGGTATGTTATTTTTGTGTTCTGATGCTTATTTTTAATGCAGTTACTTTGTTCCCAATATGGACTTTATAAAGTATGCTTAGTTCTAGTACGGCTGTCTGTAACAGGTTCAAATGGGAATCTAGGGGCTTCCCTGGTGGCGCAGTGGTTAAGAGTCCGCCTGCCGATGCAGGGGACGCGGGTTCATGCCCCAGTCCGGGAGGATCCCACGTGCCGTGGAGCGGCTAGGCCCAGGAGCCTGCGCGTCCGGAGCCTGTGCTCCGCAACGGGAGAGGCCACAACAGTGAGAGGCCCGCGTACCACAAAAAAAAATAAATAAAAGGGAATCTAGTAATTTATAACTAGAAAAGCCTGGTGTTTTGCATGTAAAACCTAGTAATGAGTATTAGTCCACCAAATTCCTTTAAAAAATTTTTGTTCTTTTTTTCTACTGTTTTTCTAATAGAATCTGAGTTTTAAAATACTCATTACTGTGTCTTATCAGTGCCCTTTTTTCTGAGTTCTTGCTGTTGGTTGAGTTTTAGTAGTGGCTAATAAAGAATTTTATTTTAGCTGTGGAGGAAGATGCAGAGTCAGAAGATGAAGAGGAGGAGGATGTGAAACTCCTAAGTATGTCTGGAAAGCGTTCTGCCCCTGGAAGTGGTAGCAAGGTTCCCCAGGTACAGATGCAGTTTACTATACATAATTTATTCTGGCCTTTAGTTTGGTAGTTTGGATTAGTACTTACTTACGAGTGTGTGTCCAATTATTTTTTTAAGAAAAAAGTAAAACTTGCTGCTGATGAAGATGAAGATGATGATGATGACGACGACGATGATGACGAAGAGTAAGTAGTATGCCCGTAGAAACCTGACATTGTTGTATCGGGGGTTATGAAAACGATTTACCAAAATCATGATTAGTGGTTGTCAGTTTGTGTTAAATGAGCTGAGTTAAAGGATGGAGTATGCAGCATTTCCCAGATGTATTTGACTAGGTGCCTTTTTTCTGAGGAAGGTTTAGTGGACACATTACTGTATGCTAAGTCTGGTGTATTTTAAGCTGAACAGTTTATAATAAATGGGTTGGGCATAAAGAGAATCCGAACAGTTCCAGCTATATTCATTTTGTAAGTTGTCACTTGAGGATTTTTTTTCCCCACAAAGGATTTTGGCGTATGGTTGTCCTGGTCCTTATGAGAAAATTAGATTCTAAAAGAGAATAGGATTTTGCTGGAGAATTTAAAATTTGGTTGTAAACAAGATTTGATATGTTTGTTAAACTAGGTCAGACTATGGTAAAGTTACAAACACGCTGTGGAATAAAATGCTCCTCATAACTAGTCTTTCTTATATGCAGCCATATCAGAAATTGATTAATATTGAATTTTTAATTGCTTGTCAACTTTGTTCTTGAGTTCTCAGGTTGGTCCATTATATAGTTACTGAAAACAATTGAAATGGAATCTAAGACTCTGAGAGAACATGCACTAATTTAATGATCAGATCTGCAAAGTAGGTTTTCAGTGACCTTAACTAGCCAAGCTGGTAGCCCTTTAAAAAGGCCTTTGAGCATGACAGTGGAAGCAGAAAATAGGAAAGAGTTGAATGTTTAAAAAATTCAGGGGGCTTACCTGGTGGCACAGTGGTTGGGAGTCCGCCTGCCGATGCAGGGGACACAGGTTCGTGCCCTGGTCTGGGAGGATCCCACATGCCGCGGAGTGGCTGGACCCGTGAGCCATGGCCGCTGAGCCTGTGCATCTGGAGCCTATGCTCCGCAAAGGGAGAGGCCACAACAGTGAGAGGCCCGCATACCACCAAAAAAAAAAAAAAAAAAAAAAAAAATTCAAAATTACCTGCATGTTAAACTTATAAACAAACTCAATATAGTTGGTGTTTGTTACTGCTTGACTATGCCTGAGCTTTGGAAGATTTCCTGTCTTTAAAATGGAGATAAGTCCTGATGTAACTACGGTGTAAATAGTTTACGTTCTTGTCTTCCATGTCCTCTAAGCTGTCTTTTAAGTTAGGTGGTGAGGGAGGAATGAAAAGTGTAGATGGTGACAAGGTCCAAATCGGTAAGTTTTCATAAAAGGGAAAAAAGGGTAGTCAGATACATGTATAAGTAGAGGCAGTTAATGGATCCCTTGAGGATAACAAGTCTTAGAAGATTCCATTGGTTAGGGGGCAATGAAAATGTTAAGAGGTGCCCCAAGGTTTGTTAGCTAAAAGTAGTTATTTTGTGGAAATTGTAAGCCATAATCTCAGAAGGCTTGGAACCCACAAAATAAAAGGCAGATCAGTGGGTCTGTTCTGGGGATGGAAGGGGTATGCTATGGGGTTGGTTGACTGCTGTTGATGTAAGCAAGAAAAGCTGAAGACCATGTAGTACATTAAAAGTTAGTATGACCAACACAACATTGTTAATCAACTATACTCCAATATAAAATAAAAAGTTAAAAAAAAAAAGTTAGTATGGCTTACAGATACATCCTGGGTGGATTATTCTGGGTGGCCAGGGAACTATAAGGGGTGACTTTGGAGGACAGTTTTTAGGGGGCCCTGAAAATGTTAGGCGTTCAAGCATGGCTGGCATGGGGCCCCTGTGGGGCCAGAGTGGCTATTCCCCAAGTGGCTCATGGTTATGGCTGGGTCCTGGGGCAGCGTGGGCTGTGCTTCCTTACAAGTTCAGTGTTGTTTCCACAGGGGCCAGGTCAGGTGAGGGGGTGGTGGAGAGTGTTCCTTGTTCTTCATTGAGGTGGCAATGGGATTTGCCTAGGTGCCACCTAGGAAAATATCTGTTACGTAAAAAATAAAACAAAGGGTGGTTCTCCATAAACACCCTTTTCCCCTATTTTATTAGGGAATATCCTAATAAAACTGCTTACAGTAGTGGTTTTATAGAAACCATTGTCATCTTTTTTTTAGTATGGGGTAGCCCATGCAGGTATTGGGTGCTAGGGCCAAAATTGACAAATCACTGTTAAAAATTACTTAAAAGACGTTATATGCCTTTAAATGTATACTACATGGTATTTTATCCAGTTAACATAGCAGATTTTTTACCCCTGTATTGGAAAGAAGTGTTTCTTTGGTTGCACATGGGTGAAGTTACTCCTGTTTTTTATTTAGACTATGTAGTGTGGAAGAGAAACCATTTTGGCCAGTATATAATGTTTGGTTTGTGAAGTAATTACAATTTAAACCAATTCCACCATTTGCTGATTCGTACTTATTCGTGGACTTCTCCAGTGATTGGATATTTTCCCCCCAGTTCCCCCATTTAGAGTGTACAATTTGGTGCTTTATAGTGTATATGCACAGTTGTGCAGCCAATTTCAGAACATTTCATCACCTCAGAAAGAAACTATGCTGTAACCCCTCATCTTCCCCAGCTCTAGTCAACCACTAATGTATTTTGTATTTTATAGATTAGCCTGTTTTGGATATTTCATATAAATGGAATCATACAATATGTGCTCTTTTGTGGCTGGTTTGTTTAACTTATCACAATGGTTTTTTGGGG